CAACTGAGCCACCCAGGCGCCCGATCATGGGTACAGTTTTGACAAATGTATAATCCCAAGTGCCCCAATCTTTTAATTGAACTTTAGAAAAACTCTGGGCCAAGCTTGAAGCCTCTGTTTGAGAGTTCTTTGGGAGAAATTAGTAAGTAATCACCATACAGTAAATGGAATGGTAAATGGAATGATGAAGGTTAAGTGTCCTGTTCTGTGAGACACCGGAAGTTAATTAACCTAGTGAACATGTCAGTGAAGGCTTCTCCGCTCCTGTCTTCCACTGGCCACACCCAACCAGAATCCAGGGGCGCAGAAGGTAGGGTTCATGCCAGGCCGTGGGCGCTGCGGGAGGGGCAGAGAACATGCAGGATGGGGAGGTTGTGGATAAAAATGAAGAACAGTCTTACCCGTGCGTCTCTGGCAATACTAATTTTTAAACATTTTTTTGCCCGTGTAACTCTGATAATTCTTCTTTTAAAAACTTTTCATCGTTAACATACTCAGTGAATTTAATCAAAGCTCCATTGAAGGAGACAGATAAAATCACTGGGCCCTCAGATGCAAGAATTCCCTTCTCCTTTATTGTAGTTTACATTTTAAAACAGAATCCCTCAAAGTTTTAAAAGTGCATTTTAAAAAAAGCCTTAAGATTGTATCTTTTTTACTTCCCAGGCTTTTGTGTGGCATCATGCTTTCAAGTGCTTTCGTTCATTAATTAAGTACATTTTCCTGGTGCTAGGAATCCAGTGGTAAACAGGACAGGAAAGGTCCCAGTGGGGGAAGCAGTCATTAAATAAATGTTGACATATGGGGCGCCTGGGTGGCTCAGTCAGTTAAGCATCTGCTTTCAGCTCAGGTCATGACCCCAGAGTCCTGGGATCGAGGGTCCTGGTCCAGGTCCTGGTCTGCATCAGGCTCTCTGCTCAGCAGGGAGCCTGCTTCTCCCTCTGCCTGCCGCTCTCCTTGCTCATGCTCGTTCTCTCTCTCTCCCTCCCTCTCTGAAAAATAAATATCTTTAGAATGTTGACATGTATTGTTGTAATTACTGCTATGGAGAAAGTGAAATAGAGGAATGTGCTTTAGATTGACCAGTGGATGGCAAGCATTTATGGCTTTAGGTAGAGTGGTCAGAAAACACCGAAACCTAAAGGGAAAATTTGAGGGGGAGTCAGCCGTAGAAAGATGCAGACACAGAGGGCATCGTAAATAGAAAGGCTTAGATATAGTATTTAGTGAGAAATCTGCCTTCAGTTGTTATGTATGATTTCTGTGTAAGAGCTAATTCCTGGACTGTAGGTGAAAAAAATATTGAAAGCCCCCAAAATTGTCAGAAAGTTATGGAAAAGTTGCTTCTCTCTGTACTTGCATCACCTCTAACTTTAGTGTTTACTTTTTATGTTTTCCTAGCTGAACTTACGTAGGTAACAATTTTGTTCCAGTTGAGCCTATTAGCACTTAATAGCAACAATAAAAACAGTGAGGTTTTTTTTATCGAACACAGGAAAACTCACCATTACTAGTTTTCTCTTTGAAAAAGGGCCCTGACGATAGCTTTGCAGATACAGGTGAAGTCTGGCTCATAGACGTCAGATGATTTGCAGTTTCTTCTTCACATGACTTGGTACAGTCCGGCATTACCAGATACAGTCACAGGAATGGAAATAACATTTGCCTTTGGTTTTAATTCACTTTTTTAAAAAATTGTATTAATGTCATTGACTTCTTTGTCTTTGTTATAAAGCTCATAAAGTTTTCTTTCTGATGAAAAATTTTTTACAAGCAGAAATGTTACATTTTTATTCAAGAATTTTTTTTTAATGTGGATTTGTTTTCTTTTTTTTTTTAAAGATTTTATTTATTTGACAGGGAGAGACACAGCGAGAGAGGGAACACAAGCAGGGGGAGTGGGAGAGGGAGAAGCAGGCTTCCCGCCAAGCAGGGAGCCTGATGCGGGGCTTGATCCCAGGACCTTGGGATCATGACCTGAGCTGAAAGCAGACGCTTAACGACTGAGCCACCCAGGCGCCCAATTGGATTTGTTTTCAACTTAGAATTTACTTTCCCTTCACAGGACTTTTAAAAAATTCAGTTGCTCCTTCTCATGTTTCTCTTTTTAATGGTCAGCTCTTAAATCTACCTGAGATTGTTTGATGTCCTGTGTAATGATACATTAATTTTTTTTATTAAGTCTCATTCTGGATTACTATATTCTCCCAGGATAGTACATGTCTATTTTTCTGCCACTTCCCCTCTGTTTTAGTTACCATAAGAGTATGATACCTCTGCATATTGCTTAATAAATTACACGTTCATAAGATGTTCACAGCCATGCCCACACATCTCTGTCGGGGAGGGGAGGTTGTTTTAGATGCAGGCTGCCCACAGAGTATGCCTCCTTTGTATCTTGATTAGTAAGCAGGGCTTTAAACATCTTTTTTTTTTTTTTTTTTTAAAGATTTTTATTTATTTATTTGAGACAGAGAGAATGAGAGAGAGCACATGAGAGGGGGGAGGGTCAGAGGGAGAAGCAGGCTCCCTGCAGAGCAGGGAGCCCGATGTGGGACTCAATCCCGGGACTCCAGGATCATGACCTGAGCCGAAGGCAGTCGCTTAACCAACTGAGCCACCCAGGCGCCCCATCTTTTTTTTTTTTAAATGCTTTTGCATATCCTAAAGAAGAAATCATTTTCTTTACCATCCTCTCCATTCATTGAGCCTCTCCATATAGCAATTATAGGTAATACAAAATAATGCAGATTTTCTGCCTTCAAACAACTTACAGTTTTCCAGGGGATTCAAGCCCTCAGATGGTTATTTTTTTTTTTTTTTTTCCAGTCTGAGATGAGTTTGACATAGGGGGTGGAAAAAAGTCCATTCTGGTATAGGAAAAAAAATGTTAGAATTTTTATCTAAATTTTTCAACTTTTACCTCTGTTTTATTATGTGCAATATATATTAATCCAGTATCATAATCAGTAAGTATAACTGTATTGGGGGTATATCGTCAAAATATTTTACTGTTAGGTAGGACACAGGATCACACAAGTGTAGAGAGCATTGCCCTAATGTTAACCGAAATAAAAGTATGCTCTGCAGAGTGTTACTATGGCAAGGACATTGAGGTGTTGTAGGAACACAGATCAGTCATTTGTTTGCTCAGGGGCTGGAGGCAGAGAACAAGGTAGATCTGGTCAGAGGAGTCAGGCCCTAAAAGATGAGTAGAAGTTGGCCAGAAAATGAGAGGTGCTTGATGAAAAGCAGGTGATATACGCAGGTGATCATTTCTTACCATTGACAATTTCAGTTAGTTATTTTATCACTGATAGTTTTAGCCAGGTAATAAACTTACTTCTTGTGATTATTTTATTGTATCAGCTAAGATTAGCAATAAATATTGAAAGTAACATCATAATTGCTAGTTTACAAGATTGCCTTTTCTGAGGTGAATACACTGTGAACACTGTTCTGAATGTATCCATCCACTGGGAGAGGATTTTATTACACACTGGACATAGACTTCTCCATGATTACTCAGTAGCTTCCTTAAACATTAGAACCTCAGAAATAACCTTACATTTTGGATTCCTAATTGACATCCAGTAACCAATTTGTTGACAGGTAAGTACCCTCAGTCATAGGTCTTCTGTCGGTGGTGGCTACAGTAATAACAATAGACAAACCTGTGTTTGTTTTAAACTCATTTCTCAAAAAGGTGGTTTATGTTTTAGCTGTCATCTTAAGTAAGCTTGTTTAAGATGAAACAGTATAAGGACAAGGTCCATGAACTCCACACAGGAAGGGATACCCATCATTATCATGCCTGTCCCCAGTGTCAGGACGAGGACATCACCTGGCAGGCGTCCAGTGGTCTTCATGAGTCTGAAAAACATGGAGGAGGAGGAGACTCAACACTACTATTTGGAGCTAATTCAAAACTACTGTAATGGTACTGAGTTTATTTCAGACATGCCTATAATTAATTCTTTTGTCACACTTCAGCTTGCCAGTTCTGTAACCCCTTGGGATGTCTTGCTGAGCTTAATTGCGGCTGCCACTCACGATCTGGATCATCCAGGTGTTAATCAGCCTTTCCTTATTAAAACTAACCATTACTTGGCAACTCTGTACAAGGTTAGTACAATTTTAGCATGCAATTTATTTTCTTGTATTCTGGAAAATGTTTTAATGGAGTCAAAGTCGTAAACAGATTCTCAATGAATGTTAGAATTTTAACCAGATTAATATTACCTACAAATAATTCTTTATGTTCAGGAAGAGGCTTACCATTAAATAACTCAGATATGCCCTTTTTTGTAGAATACCTCAGTACTGGAAAATCACCACTGGAGATCTGCAGTGGGATTATTGAGAGAATCTGGTTTATTCTCACATATGCCATCAGAAAGCAGGTAGGCTGGATTAAGACACATTTAATTTGTTACGAACTATGGAGATTAAGTTGGCAAAACAATTTTATAAAGTTTTAAAAATTATTCAGGTGTTCCACAGTTTTCAGTTTTTGTTAAATTTAATGGCTAAATTATTTTACACCTTTATATCAAAACTCTAGTAATTTAAACCTATTCTACAGTATAGACCGTAGTATTTTTTTAGTGAATTTTTATGGCTCACCCCATAGATTTGAGTATTATAAAATTCACTCCAAATACACAGTGGCTCATAGTTTACTACTTATTTATGTAAATAGTATTACATATTTCCATTTTATGCTCATTTGAATAATTCTAGATGTAAAGAAATTCTAGGTACAAAGAAATTAATCATTCTGTATAATAAATACACTCATTCAAGTAAGTTTCAGGAAGTTTTCAAAACTGATAACAAGTAAAAAGGATGCTTTGTAGTTCAGTAGCATAGTATTGGAGTCACTTCTGGAGCTAGCTATAGGATAAAATAGTGATGGAAAGAACAGGAAATACTAATTTTTTAAGTAAAGACCATTTAATGTTAAGCAGGCCATTTGAAAGCCTAATAAAAAGCATCAGTGCAAATGAGCCCAATATGATGGTGGTTAACAAAATCTCTTATTGATCTACAAACAAAAGCTTTTACTAATGTCTCACTGAGAGAAGATGCACTTAAGAAAACCATGTAAATGGGTGTAAACCATCTAACTCTAGGAAACAAGGTGAGGCATAAAAATGTTTGGGTACTGTAATTTAAGTCACTATCATAGTTCTTTCCATTTTCCCTTTCATAATTTAAAACAACTTTATTTTAAAAACTTAAGTATTTTGTGTAATGACCATGAGAAAAAAGCTGGACTTTATTTTCTATTCTTTTAAATCTTTATTCTCGGATACCATTTGGAGTTATGACAATACTTCTGGTAAGTAAAATTGTTTCTTGCCATAGTACAAATATAAAAATTGCTTTATTAAACCATAGTTTTTATATATATAAATTATTTTTTTCTTGATTAAGGCAGATTAAAATGTTTACTTTATTCCCTTTTTGTCTTGTTTTACATTTGATGATTAACCCTGTTGATAAAAACTGAAAATAAGGAACACTGCGTAATAGCATTCTTTCATGTTTCCTTTATTTAGGGTTTGTTTTATTTAATATCCAGTATTGTGAGCCTTTTAAGCTGTTGACAGGTCTTTACTGATCTTTATACGTAGATAATGTTTGCTATGGCCCATTGAGGGGGAAAAAAGCAGGGATATTTTTTTAAGTTTATTTCCCTTACTTGACTTGAAACAGTTTTAAGAATGATATAATGTATTAACACGTTACCTTTTCCTTTCCAGAAAAGTTGGATATTCATTCAGATAATTTTGATTCTTGAATTTGACCCTGAAAATACAATTTTATCTAAACTTTATCAGGGCGCCTGGGTGGCTCATTCGTTAAGCATCTGCCTTCGGCTTGGGTTACAATCCCAGGGTCCTGGGATCTAGCCCCGCATCAGGCTCCCTCCTCCGTGGGAAGCCTGCTTCTCCCTCCCCCACTCCCCCTGCTTGTGTTCCCTTTCTCGCTGTGTCTCTCTCTGTCAAATAAATAAATAAAATCTTTAAAATAAATAAATAAACGTTGGGCGCCTGGGTGGCTCAGTTGGTTAAGCGACTGCCTTTGGCTCAGGTCATGATCCTGGAGTCCCGGGATCGAGTCCCGCATCGGGCTACCTGCTCAGCAGGGAGTCTGCTTCTCCCTCTCCCGCTCCCCCGTCTTGTGCTCTTTCTCTCTCTCACTCTCTCTCTCAAATAAATAAATAAAATCTTTAAAAAAAAAAAAGTCTAAAAAAAAATTAAATAAACGTTATCAGATTGTTTGGTGGGATTTTATCAATGTATAATCAGGCATCTTAGTCAAAATACCTACAAGAATTAGTTGTTGACTGGGCTGTTCTTCCTCCGTTTGAACCAACCTTCTGCCTTTCAGATCTCAGACACCAAAAAATAAACCAGAGTTGTTTACCCTCAGCACATCCCAGCAAAGAATTTTCTAAAATAACATACCAATCTCATATAGATTTTAAGGCAAATAATTCCTCCTTGGTTGGCAAAATAAAAGCAGTCTTTTTGGAATGTACGCATATTGGTATTTTCCTGTCGTTTGGTTTTGGTTGATTATTTTAGTAGGTTTTTTTAAATGCATTCTGTAAAATTCATTTTTTTGTGATAGGTTAAAAGTTGAATGGCAATTAGAGTGTTAAGCTTAAGAAAAAAAAAATCAAGAAGTAACTATTTAATTGAAAGTCTTGTATTTTCTCTTTATATTTCTCTAATTCCAGGCAACAAATGGAGACTCAGATAGGTGCTTTGATACTAGCCACAGACATCAGTCGCCAAAATGAGTATCTGTCATTGTTTAGGTCCCATTTGGACAGAGGTGACTTATGCCTAGAAGATGCCAGGCATAGGCATTTGGTTTTACAGGTAAAATGGGGCTGGGAAAGATTCTCTTTCTAGATAAATTACATAAGCATTAGAATAAAAATGAAATCTTCTGAGGTAGCTTTCAGAGTGGTCAAATCTTGAGGGAAAGCTGTGGAATCTCCTTCCGTTAGTGAAACACTTTCCAGAAGGTTTATCTCCTCCTTAGGAAAGCACCATTGATGGGACGCCTGGGTGGCTCAGTCATTAAACGTCTGCCTTCCGCTCAGGTCATGATCCCAGGGTCCGGGGATCGAGCCCTGCATCAGGCGCCCTGCTCAGTGGGGAGTCTGCTTCTCCCTCTGCCTGCAGCTCCCCCTGCTTGTGCACTCGCAGGGACTCTCTCTCTCTCTCTCAAGTAAATAAAATGTTAAAAAAAAAAAAAGCACCATTACTTTTGTAGTTTTCATACCTGAGATTTCTAACAAAAACAGTTTTCGCGAGATTAGGGTGCTGACCAACAAACAACATTTGAATCAATTCTTGCATCTAAAAATGAGAGAGAGGGGCGCCTGGGTGGCTCAGTCGTTAAGCGTCTGCCTTTGGCTCAGGTCATGATCCCAAGGTCCTGGGATCGAGCCCCGCATCAGGCTCCTTGCTCCGCGGGAAGCCTGTTTCTCCCTCTCCCATTCCCCCTGCTTGTGTTCCCTCTCTCGCTGTCTCTCTCTCTGTCAAATAAATAAAAATTAAATAAATAAATAAAAATGAGAGAGAATCAGATGATTTCTTTGTAGCTTTATGTTTAGTCCAGTCCTCCTGCTTGGCTCTTGGGTATTAATAACGTGTCATTAGATGAGCAGTCTTTCAGCATTCCTGCAGAAATAATTGATAGCCCTAACAGCGTCATGAAATGAATATAAAAGACAATGAATTTTCTATTGCAGTATTTTCTTTTTCTTTATTAAGATGTTTTTCCCAAGATTAAAGCATGTTGAAGTTTGTGCAATTGAAATTTTACTTTTTTCTTAAAAGAATTTTAATATTTTGCTTGCTAGATGGCTTTGAAATGTGCTGATATTTGTAACCCGTGTCGGACCTGGGAATTAAGTAAGCAGTGGAGTGAGAAAGTAACAGAGGAATTCTTCCATCAAGGCAAGTTACAGTTTCGAGTGATAGTCTTTTCAGTTCCGTTTTTAGCATCACATGGATAAACTAACTCAGACATTTACATGAGTTCAGCAAGAGATGCTTGGTATTTTTAGTGACAATTCATAGTATATGTACATAGAACAAATAGTGTACAAATTGAGCATCTGTTTTGGAAATTAGCAGTTTGCTTTTGAAATGATCAGATGTGAATATATGTATGCATTTATAAATAGACGTAGATCTGGTTGGAAATTTTGCTCTGCAGAAAGATTTCCTGACCTTGTTCCATCTTTGTCCCATGTGGAATGTATGGCCGTATGAACGTGCAGGATATTTTTAGTGATTTCAAGCCAGGAACCGAGGATCTTCATTTCATGTACCTTCCTTTTAGAAATCTTAAGTTTTAAATTAAAATGCTGACAGAATTACAGTCTTGGGGTAACACCTAGTGAAATTTTTCATCTTCTCCATTTAAAATAGGATATCAGCTTGGCAACCTTTTCCCTCTGAATAACTTAAAAATTTAAAAAAGAACTAATTTAGAATTCATCCTCTCAGGAGGATTAAGTATGTCGTGTTTTTCCTAAGGAATGTACAGGTAAGACAAAGACTTTAATTATATACTTAAGCAGTAGGTGTGTTCCACATTAATAATTCTGTTTTGTTTTTTTTTAATTTTAGGAGATATAGAAAAGAAGTATCATTTGGGTGTGAGTCCACTTTGTGATCGTCAGACTGAATCTATTGCCAACATCCAGATTGGTAACTATGCATACTTAGATATAGCTGGTTAGAAAAATGCCGCTGACTTTAATTTTGTCAAGAAGAGATATACATTTGAAACAAGTAATATTAAAATTGTGCTCATTTTTAGTTTTTAATTGAAGACATTTTACCAGTTTTTCCTGTTTTTGGCTCTTACAATTTGCTGTCATTTGATCTTAGGTCCTAAAAACCATGATTTTTGCAAAGTAGGTAGCAGTAACTTTGTGTGTGTTCTAACCCCGGAAGAATACATGGTTTGCCCATGTGGAAGCTTCTTCTGCCCGAGTCTGGCATTGCCGTTCTGAAGTGAGCAAGCAGGATGATAGTGTGAAGACCAGTTTTCGCCACTGCTTCCTTGTGTCTTGTAGCTCCGCTGTTGGCTCATTCTGCAGCCTCCCGCACACGCCCCTGCTCCCCAGCAGCTGCCCCTCACGCACCCACAGCAGCTTGGAACTCGGCCCTGTTCCCCAAATCCGTGACGCCCCCTTCACTCTTTCCGCCTCGCCATCCTTCCCACCTGTCTGCTGGACTCGTTTTTCTGGAAGAGCCACCCCCTCCAGAAGCCACATTCCACTCTCTGCAGGCAGAGCCGTTCCGTTCCCAGGCCTCGGGGCACCAGATCATGTCTCTCCTGGCTCCCAGGCCCCGGCCCTGGAGGCAGGGGGCACTTGAGAACCATTAGTTACGCTGTGATGGAAAACACGGCGGTGGGGGGGGGATGTGCTGTGACTGCAGCAAGAGCAGAGGAGGGGGCGGTGGGGTTTTGAGTGTAAAGTAGGACAGCGTGCGGAGGGACAGGTCAGCAAGGTATTGAGGGACGAGTATGGTTTTGGTAGCTGGTGTTGAGTAGGGCCTTGGAGCATTAGGGAACGTAAAGAAGTGTGGACACAAACTTCTGAATTTCTAGGAACTTTATCTTTCTGAAGATAACGTGCTTCTGTGGCATAATACTTTGAAGAGAGGCCTGTGCCGTCGGGTGAGAAATTCAGAAATGGAATGCTCACACTGTACCTGCCGAGGATGGTCACGTGGAAGACAGCGGGAAGTAAGGGACTTGAGCACAGAGGGCAAGGCAGGGAAGCCGAAGAGCCAGGCCCGGGAGAATGCAGGGCTGCCGGCGCCCGGAGAGCCAGGGAGCCAGGGAGCCGAGGAGCTTCACCGCGGGCGACGCGTTCTTTGGGGAGGATGAGAAGACAGTTAAGAAGCAGGTCTGTTGTGCCTGGAATCTCAAGTAGAAAAGTCTTGAAAGGCAAAGACCAGGTGAAACGTGGGCAAAGGGGATTGAATCGAAGATAGGAGAGTGGGTAGCGGCGTCTCCGGAGCTTACTTTCACGTTCTTTTGCCCGAGGAAATGACCCCCTCAGTGAGGGAACTTAACAACGAGGTTTTTTAAAATTGCGTTTTTTGAAAGGGAAAAGAAGCCGGATCCCTTAAACTCTTCATTTCCACCTATAGATCTTGTCCGTGTTGGACAGTTCTAGGTAAGGTTACCTGAAGGACAAAGATTTTACGGAAAATGATGTTGTAAAAGTTGACGTCTGCTGACTCCTCACAACCACCCTAGGACAGAAGTACCGCTAGTAGCCTCTTGTGCAGATAGTTTGCCCAGTTGATACAGTTAAACAGATACTGGTCTTTGTGACATCAAATCCCAGGTAAAAAAAAGCCTTGGAAAGATTAGATTTCTAGGGTAAATCATAGGACTACAAGTACTGTGATTACTCAGAGCCAGCATAGGGTCAGTAAGTAGAAGTCATGTTTAATTAATGCAGTTTCCTTCTTTGATAGGAGTACTAGTTTTGTTAAACAAGAAAAGGTCATGTCCTGGCTGAGTAAGGCATCTGACATGGTGTCCTGTAGTGTGTGCGGCGGTAAGAGAGGCCCGTGGGCTAGAACAGCAAGGGGGCTCCCAGGCAGCTGACGAGCGCCCCGCCCTCCGAGAGGGCGCTGCGGGGCTCTGTGTCCAGGACCCCGGCCCGTTCATTTTTACCAGGTACTTAAGAGCTAAAAGAACATTAACCTAGAGCCAGAAGTAATACTTCTGGATTGTTGGATGTTACAGGCAAGATCCAGAAGCTCTCAACCAGTTGGAATAATGGGTGAATCAAATAAGATGAAACTCATGTACAACCCTGATAATAAGGTTCTGCATTTGGGTATAAAACTCCAGGCGCTCATGACTTCACTCCGGCACCTAGAAAAGACAGGGCTTTGGGTGACGGTTCAGCCAGACACTGTGGTGTGAGGACAGCTCCCAAAAAGCTGCTGCTTTGACTGCGGGGATGACATTTTCTCTCTTACCTCTTTCTCTTCACCAGAGCACAACTCCTTGAGGGCACATCTTGTCTGTCTATTCACCGCTCTATTCCTGGCCGCCCTACCGCAGTGCCTGGCAGCCGGTTCTCAGTTAGTATGTGCGGAGGGAACGGAAGAAGGCCTTATTTCCAGTAGTAACTACTAGTTCAGATACCACAGTTTGTACACTTGTCTAATTAAAAGTAGTAGGTGCTAATTGCTTTAATTCCAGATTTTTTTGTTGCCTAAACGTAACCTATGTTGTCTGCGGTCCACATGGTCTTTTGCTGAAAAGAAGAAGTTCTGGAGGTGAAGGAAATTTTAAAACTATTCCATAGCAGGGATAGAATTTGCATTTTGTCAGGAGTTTTGGCTCCCCAAATTCTGACTTAAATGAAGTGGCCAGTTGTAAGCATGACCAGGTGTGAAGATTGCCACCCCTGAGGGGGTAAAGCGGAGCAGGCCGCACCCATGCCACCTCGGTTCCCGCCTCATCAGCCACAGGCCTGGGAGAGACCCCTTTGCCTCCAGCTGTCCCCCTGGAACGGCCTGTCCTGCTTTCCGCAGAGCTGAGAGGGCCACTGAGTGTTTGCTCAAATAGGATGTGGTCGTGCAGCTGAGAGGAATCGTCAGAAAAGATTTGATGTGTCTGTCAACTCACCTTTACTTCAGGTTCCATCGAGTTACTTAATAGGTTCTTCGGAGGTTAGGTAAATTTACACACACACACACGCTGAAAACTTAGTGTTGAATTAGGACTTACGAGAATAAACACTGGCGAGATGTTTTGAAGATAAAGTTTCAGGATCTATGTTAATGCCCCTTTTCTCTTACTTTCTCAAGGTTTCATGACTTACCTAGCGGAGCCTTTATTCACGGAATGGGCCAGGTTTTCCAATACCAGGCTCTCGCAGACAATGCTCGGACATATGGGGCTGAACAAAGCCAGTTGGAAGGGGCTGCAGAGGGAACAGTCCACCAGTGAGGACACGGATGCTGCGTTCGAGGAGTTGAACTCACAGTTATTACCTCAGGAAAATCGGTTATCGTAGCCCCCAGAAGCAGTGGGACAGACTGCCTCCTGCCGGATTTTAGAAATGTGAAATGGGGTCTCGAGGTGAGAGGACGTTCTCTTGGCCTGCCAAGGTTTCCGAAGGAACGAGGCCAGCGTTATTTATTCCCAAGGCGTCCTCTCTCGGATCATGTGACCCCACATTTTAATTCTAAGACCTGACCATACAGCAATATGCATTTGGCTTTCGTGTGAAACCTTGAATATGCAAAGCCCAGCAGGAGCGAACCGGAACGGAGTAACAGGAAGTTTTGCGGTGTGCCACGAGTCTTTTAAAAGCATTTGTTCCTCGAACCACGAAACTTGAACTGTATCTTTCAGCAGAGATCTCTTGGAATTTGAGCAGTCTGATGCAACATTGTGTGTCTGTACCTTCCCCCAAGTTCTCTCTGAGAAAATGGAAATGTGAAGTGCCCAGCCTCTGCTGCCTCCTGCAAGACTCATGTTTACAAATCAACTCTGAAATACTGGTTCTAAATTGCCTTGGAGCAGGATTGTGAAGGAACCACTAAGAATTTCAAAGATCAAACTGAAACTGCAGCTCTTTCCCCCTGGTTTGCCTTTTTTTCTTCTTTGGATGCCACCAAAGCCTCCCATTTGCTATAGTTTTATTTTGCGCACTGGAAACTGAGCATTTTTCATAGAGTACCACCAAGCTTTCCCTTCAGTGCTGTCTGGCAATGCAATTTTTTTTAACTATTTAGTTTTTAATTTGGGGCGGGAGGGGAAGAACACCAATGTCCTAGCTGTGTTATGATTCTGCAGTGAAGACATTGCATGTTGTTTTCACTACTGTACACTTGACCTGCACATGCAAGAAAAAGGTGGAATGTTTAAAACACCATAATCAGCTCAGGGTATTTGCCAATCTGAAATAAAGTGGGATGGGGAAGTGTGTCCTTCAGAGCAAGGGTACTAAAGTCCCTTTCGCTGCAGTGAGTGAGAGGTATGTTGTGTGTGAATGTGTGGACGTGTGTTCGCGTGCATGTTTGTGCATGTGTGACTGTGCATGTGTTATATTTATCCATGTGGGAAAGGGTCTGAAATGTAAGCTTTTATTTATTATTTTAGAATGTGACACAGGGCGCAGCCACACTGGGGGGGGGGGAAGGTAGGTGAGCCGTAACAGACTGCTCCAGTTGCCTTAAACTATGCACAAAGCTAAGTGACCAAACTTCTTGTTTTGATTTGAAAAAAGTGCATTGTTTTCTTGTCCCTCCCTTTGATGAAACGTTACCCTTTGATGGGCCTTTTGATGTGAACAGATGTTTTCTAGGACAAAATCTAAGGACTAATTTTAAACTTCAAACATTCCACTTTTGTAATTTGTTTTAAATTGTTTTATGTATAGTAAGCACAACTGTAATCTAGTTTTAAGAGAAACCGGTGCTTTCTTTTAGTTCAATTGTATTTCCCTTGTTACTGTAAAAGACTGTTTATCGATTATGTTTACATTGTTGCAACAGCCATTTCCTTCGGAGAAAGCTTGAGTGTAAAGCCGTTTGTCAAAGGCTTTGCCATACTCATTTTAATATGTGCCTGTTGCTGTTAACTTTTGATGAATAAAAACCTATCTTTTCACATATTTATCTTTGATATTTACCTTACAACTCAGTCTTTTGGAAATCATAACGCTAAACTGTCAGAAGTCAGAGACTTAGCTTCCTGGTTCTAGCACTCACTCCGCGGGTATTTATTTCGGCAGAGCTGGGTGCAGGCACAGTCCTTTGGGGTTATGCTCCGCTACCTGCAGCGCACGCCGGAGCGAGTGGCCCCGGTTGGGTAGTTGGCTCCGAGTTCTGACTAATACTAATAGTAGAAGTCAGCTGTGAGCTCGGGCCTTTGGACTCCACAGCCTGATTGTGCCCACAGCTGGGAATTGCATAAGACATCAGCGCCTCTTGCCAGGACGAAAATACTAGTGCTCCTGGCCTTTTTAAAGTAGAGTAGTAAGACACGGCCGCTTCTTTCGGCTTGATTGATATCAGTGTAAGACGGGCACCACTGGGCCTCTCCTGTGTCTTCCCAACTCCAATTCGTTAGAAAGGATATAGTACAAACTTTAAAATCAAACATACTGTCATTATCTGCATAGAAGAGTGATGTCCATTAGGAATATCATGTGAGCCATGTAAGTGAATTATCAATTTTCTACTAGCCACATTTTAAAAAGGAAAAACAGATGGAATTATTTTATTAACATTTATTCCAATATATCCAAAATATTGTATCAATTCAATATGTAGTCATTATCTTAGAAAAAACAGTTGTTGAGATGTTTTACATTCTTTTGCGGGAGTACAGAGTCTTTGAAATCTGGTGTGTATTTTACACTTACAGCACATCTTGGTTCAGACTAGCCACAGTTCAAGTGCTCGATACCCACGTGTGGCTAGTGGCTCCCGTACTGGACAGCTCGGGTACAGAAGTCTGATGGTAGTCGAGTGGACTGTACCTGGGGAAGGTCAGTGGCCACTTAGGTGGCACCATCCTGGCAAATCTGATGCATCTAGAGTCTGATGAGATCTTTACAGATCTAGTATGTCAGCACATGGAAAGTGGAACTATCTCATAGGAAACTCACATTAACCAAGCTCACAGTAACTGGTATTTTTTAAAAATGTTAGTATTTTTTTTTTAAATTTACAATGGAAATATAACTATCAATCATTCTCTCCCTTTAGGCAAATCTTCTTGGGAAGTCAAATTATGATCAGCGGTTACTTGGTGAGCATGGATTCTGAGCAAGGGAAGCAAGTTGCCTCATGCATCCATCTCCCTATGGGGATATACCTGCTGATACTCATGTTTGTGGACCAGGGTACGCTCTTCCCTTGGATGATGCTAGAGATTCTCTGCCAGTAGTTGCTTCTCCACATCAGCCTCTGGTTGGCACATCCAGTAGATCTGTCAGTACCTTCAGCTTTGTCTCAGTTGAGCCTGCCTCAGCTCCATCTGCCGGCGTGTGATTGCTTCTGCTCTGATCCATTATGTGTTTCTTACTGTTTGATAGTCAAAGGGTTATCTTCTTATTTCCATTCTTGAGAGAGACACCTCAGTGTTGCTCCCATTTCCTGCCTACACATAATAAACCCACTAAGAAATTATGTTTTGTTACTTACAACATGGAGGTCACAGTCTACAGTCCTGTTCTTAAATATAACCTATATTCCTTGAACATTGATTTTCTAGAAGAAATTTGAGGAAACTGTTGTTCAATAATTTAGAAGATTACACTTAATATAAGTAAATGTTATGGGACAGAATTAAAATTCACATGAATTTTTAAAATGGGAGACTTCAAAGAATTGTTGAGCATGTAGCAGCCTTTTGGGGCTCTAGGCCCAACACTTCAGTAGTGCGGGGGGCATCTCCTCTGCCCTGGGGCTAAAGGTCCATGGAGAGAAAATTTTGGCACAAGCCTTAGCTTAATGAAAAAAACAAAACAAAACCTCTGGTACTTGGTCATTATTTGTATTCTGTAAATGTGATGGTTTATAATGATCCTCTCTGTATAAAAGCAGCAAATATTTTATGTCCTTTTAAACCTGGGAAATATATTTGTGCCTGAGGTACAGGTTAGTGGTGCTAGTTGTTCTTTGAAGATTCCTATAATGGTTTCTTTTTCCAAATGCTTTCCTGGCTCTTTAAGCTTTCAGTTTTCTTAAAGCTCTCAAACTTTCACACCAGAGGTTTACAGTGTTTTCATGTGAACTTTTTTTAATGTATAAATATAAAATCCTCTCCCAATCAGTATCTCCTGCTTGACAAAATATACAATGAAAGACAGCTAATACGCATTCACTAATGTTTTTTAAATAAACGTGCAAGAGTTCGTCTGAGCCATTCCTTGCTTGCTAAGGATCCGCAGACAACCTGTGTCTTTTGGAAGGCCCGCAAGGGTCCATGGTCTGTAGGTGGAGTGACCACTACTTGGAGGTGAGCGGACAGGGAGCACAGAGCAGGTGTCATCCACCTTCTAGCCTCTCGTGCTTAGCACAGGGCTAGTGTAAATTGGGCCATCAATAAATGTTTCGTTGAACAAACTAATTTGGTATTAATGTGTTTCCTCTTTAGCCATCAGTCTAACATTGAGCAGTTATATCGAAACTGGTCTGTCTGTGCTGAGTCATGTGGTCAGCGACATCTGGGTTCCTGTTATGTGCAGAGAGCACTGCACTGGATGTAATAAAGGTATTAAAAATTACAAAACCCTGGTCTCTGTTCTCAAAATGTTTGGGTGACAAAACAATGTGTGAAAAGCATTCTATAATATGGCAGTTTCTGTGCAAAATACTGGGGTGTGGTTTAGGAGAATGATTTAGTTTGGTGAATGATGAAAATGACACCATTTCTAGTAATTCTTGAATTTTTTAAACATCCATGACTGGTAAAATCATCTAGCCTTCAAATTTGATTCTAATATACATTCTCCACATCTTCACCAACACTTGTTGATGATAGTCAATCTGACAGGTATGAAGTGATACTGTGGTTTCAATTTGATGACAGTGAGCATCATTTCATGTACCTCTTGGCCATCTGTATGTCGTCTTTGGAAAAATATCCAAGTCCTCTGCCCATTTTTTAAATCAGGTTGTTTTTTTGATACAAGTTGTGTAAGTTCTTCATACATTTTGGATATTAACCCCTTATCAGATGTATGATGTGCAAGTATCATCTCCCACTAAGTGGGTTGCCTTTTCATTTTGTTGATGGGTTTCCTTTGCTGTGCAGAACTTGTAAGTTTGATATGATCCTGCTTGTTATTTTAGCTTTTATTGCCCTTGCCTGAGGAGAGTGGTCCAAAAACCTATTTCTAAGACCAGTGTCAAAGACCTTACTGCCTACCGTTTCTTCTAGGAGGTTATGGTTTTAGGTCTCATATTCAAGTCTTTAATCCATTTGAATTTATTTTTGTATACAGTATAAGATAGTGATCCAGTTTTCCCGATACCATTTATTGAGATATTGTACATCCTTGGCTCCTTTGTCATAGATTAATTGAGCATATATGCCTGGATTCATTCCTGGGCTCTTCATTCTGTTCCATTAATCTATACGTGTGTTTTTATGCCAGTATCATACTGTTTTAATTACTAGAATTTTATAATAAGTTTTGAAATCAGCACAGTGCCTCCAGCTTTCTTGTTTCTCAAGATTGCTTTGGCTATTGGAGGGTCTTTTGTGATTCCATACAAATCTTAGGATGATTTGTTCTAGTTCTGTAAAAAAAAAAAAAAAAAAAAAATGCAGTTGGTATTTTGTTAGGGATTGCATTGAATCTATAGATTGCTTTGGGTAGTGTGAGCGTTTTAACAATATCAGTTCTTCCACGAGCATGGTATTTGTCATCTTCAGTTTCTTTCATCAGTGTCTTATAGTTTTCACAGCATAGGTGTCACTTCCTTAAATTTATTCCCCGGTATTTTCTTCTTTTTGATGCAATTATAGATGGGATTATTTTCTCAACTTTTTTCCCTAATAGCTCCTTATTAGTGTATAGAACTACAACTGATTTCTACATGTTAATTTTGTATAAGGTTTTTTTTTTTTAAGACTTATTTAGCGGGGAGGGACAGAAGGAGAGGGAGAGAATCTCAAGCAGGCTTCCCGCTGAGTGTGGAGCCTGATGCGGGGCTCAGTCCCACAAACCTGAGATCGTGATCTGAGCTGAAATCAAGAGTTGGATGCTTAACCAACTGAGCCACCCAGGCGCCCCTGTCTACAACTTCTTAACTGAATTCATTTATAGTTATGATAGTGTTTTGTGGAGCCTTTAGGGTTTTTTATGTATAGTATGTCAACTGCAAATAGTGAGTTTTACTACTTTTCCTATTTGGATGCCTTTTCTTTTTCTTTCCTAATTGCTTTAGCTACACTTCCCAATACTATGTTGAATAAAAGTGGTGAGAGTGGGCATCCCTGTCTTAATCTTAGGGGGAAAGCTTTCAACCTTTCAACATTGAAGATGAGGTTATCTGTGGGTTTGTCATACGTGGCCTTTATTATGTTCAGATATGTTCCTTCTACGCCCACTTTGTTTTTATCATAAATGGATATCAAATTTTGTCACGTTTTTTTTCTGCATCTGTTGAGATAATCATATAATTTTTATCATTTTATTAATGTGGTATGTCACACTGATTTGCAGGTATCAAACCATCCTTGCATCCCTGGAATAAATCCCATTTGATCGTGGTGTATGACCCTTTTAACATGCTAAATTCTGTTTGCTAATACTTTGTTGACGATTTTTGCATCTATGTGCATTGGGGATATTGACCTGTAATTTTCTCTTTGTATGGTTTGTCTTTCAGTATCAGGGCAATGCTGGCCCCTGTCGTCTTTATTATTTCCTTCCTTCTGCTAACTTTGGATATAAAGTTAGGTTGTTTATTTGGGATTTTTTTCTTGAGGTAGGCTGCTTTTGCCATGAACTTCCCCCTTGTGAACTGCTTTTTGCTGCATTCTATGGCTTTTGTAAAGTTGTTTCAGTTTTGTCTCAAAGTGTTTTTTTCTCTTTGATTTCTTCGACTTATTGTTTAATAACATGTTTTTTAGTCTTCATGTGTTTTGTGTTTT